CATGTGTGGCTTTTTGTTTGAAATGGACGGGACTACTAGTCCCGTCCATTTGATTTGCATGCTAATCCACAATTAGCATGCCTTAACTACACGAGACTACTAGTCCCGTGTAGTTTGAAAAAACTGCTACAGCAAAATCGACCCTTTTCATCTGAGTTGTGATGAAAAGGGTCGATTTTACAATTTTTTTTGAGAAGGTCGATTTTGCTCATTAATTTTGTAAAAGAGTTATTTTCAAAATTTTGTCCTTTCTTATATGTCTCACTTTTACAGTCTTGTTTGTTGTACTTTTCGATTTTACTCCCACATTACAAAGAAGAGAATATACTTTGTGCTTATTGTTAGTCTAAGGTGTAGGCCCAAAGTTCGAGATGAAAGCTTGAATCAAAAGCTCAGAAAAACACGCAGACAGATCGGCGGTCGACCGGGTCGGTCGACCGGGTCGGTCGACCGCAAACGTGCACAGGAGCAAAGGAGGGCTTGGATCAGGTCGCGGTCGACCGGTCCGGTCGACCACCAAACCCTGTAGGAGAAAACTGCTCTCGGGTTTTGCATCGGTCGACCGGGCCGGTCGACCGACAATGTTTCTGGAATCTGATCGGTCGACCGGACGTAGTTTTGGCAGTTTCCTGTTCTGTTTAGGAATCTGTTTCAACCAGGATTCTATATATACCCCAAACGATTTTAGGGTTTGTACTACATCAAAAAGGAGAGTTTTTGACCGCAAAGAGAGAGAGAATCTCAGAGAGATTAACCCCTTGTTTGAGAGCTTGTATTTTCTTCTTCAATTAATAAAGAGATTGTGTGGTGTGGCTCCCGAGGACGTAGGCACGTTGCCGAACCTCGTTAAATCTGTGTGTTCATCTCCCTTACTGTTTTTTGCAAGTTAGATCTTTATTTGTGGTTTTATTCCTACTTTCCTACTTTCAACACAAGGTCCGAAAGGGCAAGGATTCAATTGATTGTTTCGAATCCCCAACAACTGGTATCAGAGCTTCGTTCAGCAATTTGTATGAAAGCCATGGCAGAGGAAAACAAATCAAAGATTGAGAAGTTCGATGGATCGGATTTTGCCTACTGGAAGTCACAGATAGAGGACTATCTGTACCAGAAGGACTTGTATCGCCCGTTGTTGGGCAAGCAAAAGGGGAAGAAGAAAGAGGAGTCAAATGGTGATTGGGAGGTACTGGATAGGAAGGCTCTAGGGCAAATCCGGTTGTCGCTCGCCAAATTAGTAGCCCACAATATTCTAAAGGAGAAGACGACGGTGGGACTTATGGAAGCGCTCGCGAAAATGTACGAGCAACTATCGGCAGCAAACAAGGTGCATCTAGTCAAAACTCTTTTCAACCTCAAGATGGCAGAAGGACGGTCCTTCACGATGCACCTCAGCGAGTTCAACACGATTGTTGATCAACTTATCTCCGTGGACATCACGTTCGATGACGAAGTGACGGCAATCAGCAATTCTGCGGGGAAAGAGAAGTTGAAGCTGAATGAGGTTGTTAGCATGATTCTATCCGAGGAGGTTAGAAGGAAATCGTTCGAATCAGAAGGTTCAGGTTCAGCCCTAAATTTCGAGCAGAGAGGCAGAAGCCAGAAGAAAGGGAACCAGAACAGGAATCGGTCGAAATTAGTAAAGAAGAGGCCGAACTCGAAGGTTAGGTCTATCAAAGGGAAGTGTTGAAACTGCGGCCAGGAGGACCATATGTCTTCGGTCTGTAAAGCACCAAAGAAGGATGCGAGTGAGCAGGAGGCTCATATCGTGCAGGATGCCTTGATCCTTGCTATGGATAGCGATTCTGATTCTTGGGTCATCGACTCAGGAGCTTCTTTCCACGCCACTGCTAATAGGAAACTACTTCATAACTATGTAGCAGGGGACTTTGGTAAAGTATATTTGGGGGACAATGAACCTTGCAATATTGTTGGAAAGGGCGACGTTCAGATACAGATAAAGGGCTCTAAGTGGAATTTGAAGAACGTGAGACATGTGCCGAAGTTGAAGAGGAATCTTGTTTCGGTGGGACAGCTTGGAGCAGAAGGCTACGTTTCGACATTCACCGGGGATTCGTGGAGAATCTCCAACGGTACGATGGTTGTTGCCCGAGGCAATAAAACTGGAACTCTCTAACTCACTTCACATGCGAGTGACACCCTCGCAATTATAGCTAGCAAGGAGAGTACAGATCTGTGGCACAATAGGCTAGGGCACATGAGCGAGAAGGGGATGAAAATTCTACATTCACAAGGAAAGCTAACCGGGATCGACACCGTGGAAGTTGGGGTTTGTGAAGACTGCATCTTTGGGAAGCAGAAGAGAGTTAGTTTCCAGAAAGGTGGAAGGCCACCTAAGGCTCAGAAGCTAGAGTTGATTCATACAGATGTATGGGGCCCAGCCAGTATGTCTTCTTTTGGCGGTTCGAGATACTACGTCACATTTATCGACGATCACTTGAGGAAGGTGTGGATATACTTCATGAAGGTGTGAGTTTACTTCATGAAGCACAAGTCAGAGGTGTTCGAGATCTTCAAGAAGTGGAAGGCCATGGTCGAGAACGAGACAGATCTGAAGGTGAAGTGCTTGAGATCAGATAATGGTGGAGAATACGAGCTGGAGGAGTTCAAGAGGTTCTGTGCCACGAATGGGATTCGCTTAGAGAGGACTACTCCAGGGACGCCGCAGCAGAACGACATTACAGAGAGGATGAACAGGACCTTGACAGAGCGTGCGTGGAGCATGCGATTACATGCAGGTCTGCCTAAGACATTTTGGGCGGATGCGGTACATACGGCAACATACCTTATTAATCACGGGCCATCAGTTCCATTAGATTTTGGGATTCCAAAGGAGGTTTGGAGTGGAAAGAAGATAAATCTTTCACACTGTTTGCGGTGAAAGTTGATGTTTCCATTTTTATCGAATCTATTACAACTTTAGTCGTTACAATAAACTCGAATAAAATAAAAAGTCGATTTTTTTATAAGATCTCCTTACACAATGAAAATAAAAAGTTTACAACTTTATCAAACAAATGCAGAGATCGTTTATCGGTCTTCTGCTTGCGTGGGTGTCTTTGCCTGTGCCGGGGTTTATCCGTGGACCACCGTCGATCAGATCTGATTGCTGAAAAATTGGGTAGAGGTTCGTCTATCCGCGAAGGGATCGAGAAAACTGTAGCGCCTATCTCGATAAAAGCGAGATTTTGCTCTTCTTAGTATTACCACAACGGGATAATACTAAGGATTGGGTGCGGGTGATGTAGATCTGACGAAGAACTCTCTTGCGTTGAAGAACTAGATCCGATCTCTCCTCCTCCTCTCTTGAAATCTGTGCACTTTAAGTCTTCAATCCGGCAGGGCTTTGCCGAGGCACGAGAATTCCAGCTCTGAAAAAATAGGCATGAGGGGTTGCGGAGCGGTTAAAACGGGCTAAAGGCCCAAATCTGCCTTAGAGGGTGTCTCTCAAAATCCGGGACACCCCTGGGGTGTCTCACAAAATCCGAGACACCCCTGGGGTGTCTCAGAAAATCCGAGACACCGTGGGGTGTCTTGGAAAATCCGAGACACCCTTGGGGTGTCTCGGAAAATCCGAGACACCGTGTGGTGTCTCGGAAAATCCGAGACACCCCTGGGGTGTCTCGGAAAATCTGAGACACCCTTGGGGTGTCCTAGAAAATCCGAGACACCCCTGGGGTGTCTCACAAAATCCGAGACACCCCTGGGGTGTCTCACATTGGCCGAGACACTCTGTTGAGGTGCATCCGTCCACTTCCGCTGTAAATTCTTCGTCCGAACTCAGATTTTAGTGATTCAAAGTGCGTTGGAAGTCTAACGAAGAGTTCTATCAGCTCTAATGGTTGGATTATCTATAGAATGAACGAGACACGAAGGGCGTTGTTCTTTTTGTAACATCGCGGGGCTCTCGATTAGCCCGTGCCTTCGTTATCCCGAAATTCTGTCAGCTCACGTAGTTCGTCAGTTCAATTCAATCGTTCACCAACGTCAGTCGAACTCTTGTGAACCAGATAGTAACGTTCATTGGCGTTCCTTAACATTGAGCTGTTCGTAGAGACCTATAGGCAATTTTCGATGCCTACAGATACCCCCTCCAAAGCGTTCCGGACTCGTTTCTTTTATAGAAGAGGCTGGAATACTTTGGACGTGATTAGTCCAGCCTTCAGTCGGCGTAAATGACCTGTAGTTAGCTTCAACTCTTGGCTCCTTCGACTGCGTTTATCGCCTGGCCGTCGTCGGAGTCTCGAGTCTACCACCAGTGAGTTGAGTTTGGCTCGTGTCATTGAGTTGACTTTGAACTGACTATCTCTGTCACATTGCGCTGACTTAGGGTTTCAGATCACCGTATGTTGACTTTTTTTGTCGCAACGCGTTGAGTGGCGTTGACCTAGGGTTACGCGTTGACCGGCGTTGACCTAGGGTTTTGGATCGCCATTAACATAGTTTATACTCGTGCATTTGCTGGAGCATACACAGTTTAAGCTCTTAAGGTATTGGAGCACGGTGATCCCAAATGTCGGAGCTGCAGGACCAACTGTTAAAGCTGATTCATCTGCATTTGTGGATCTTATTTTAATGTTGTTGGATAATCGAGTCACGAGACCAACTAACAGAGCTGATGCATCAATGACTCACATTTATAGAATTTTTGGCAAATTCTCAG